TTCTCCTTACCCTGAATCACATGAGCCGCCGCCTGCGGCAGCCCCACCGAGACCTCCAACCCATAATCATCCGCCACCTGCTGCATCAAACTGTTCACTTCCCCTTCCGGCGTAGACAAGCTCGTCGATCCCGCCATCGACCCCTCCATGAACTCCGCCTGCACCTCCATATTCACAAACTGCTTCTCGAACTGATCCATCGTCTCGCTCATCTTCTGAAGGTTCCCAGTCGCCAGCGAAGAATCTAGGGCTTTGACGATTCCCGCCATGGATTTTCCGATAGTCTGCATCTTCGCCTGAGTGTCGAGGCGAGCGACGACTGCGTCGAGGCGGGAAGCGAGGCGGAGGTAGTTCATCTGCTCGCTTCGCTTGCGGATCGCGTTCTCGGCGTAGATCCGAGCGCCGTCGGTGTTTCCTTTCTCGATCGCTTTCTTGATCTTGAGTTTCTCCGATTTTTCCTCCTTCTCGCATTTGCGGGCTTGGCGTTGGAGGGATTTGGAGGTGAATTTGAGCTCCATGATCTGGTTCATTAGCTTCTCAGTGTTGCCCATGGTGGAGTTAGGGTTAGGGTTTTTGGGGGACGAGGAAGAAGAAAGAGGAGGTCTCCTGTTGATTAATGCGCCTTGATTGGAGCTGCAATGTTTGCGCGTGAGCTTCGCCTTATTTTGACGCGGATTCGATATTTTTGTTTTCCAAACTGGACTCGGGTACGGTTATTTGATCCGTCTACGGTAAAAGGCCAATTTGGTCTCTGGGCCTTCATTCTCACGTTGGTCCCTCAGCAAAATTTTTTTTTGTTTAAGGTGGAAGTTTCTGCAAAATTTTTACATCACATTTTTTGTATTAATCGGTAAAAATATTGTTTCATGAAACCTGAAGGCTGAAGTCATGCCTATACTGCTAGAAATACGACTATTACCGACGGATATATAGCGACTGACAATTCCGTTGCTATAAGTTAACCTATAGCGACGGAATTTCCGTTGCTATATATCCGTCGGTAATGTTGTTTTGCCAACGGATGAATTAGTAATGGCGACGGAAATTTTCCCGACAGAGAATATCCGTTGGCAAAATACCGACGTTAATAAGATTTTTAGCGACGGAAAAGTCATCGCTAAAATTTAATTTTCTAAAAAAAATTAGGGCGCGGGATTGCCCAAAAAATTTGGGCAAACCCGCGCCCAGAGAT